CTGCCAGAATTACTTAGAGTAATCCAGGGAGTGGAGGGGGACAAAAAAAACAAACAAACAAAAAAAAAAAAAAAAAACCAACAAAATTAGCCTTAAGATGGAATTTATCTTTCTGGATTGTATTTTTGAAAACTTGAGGATGGAGAGATACTGTATAAATCTTGAGGTATTAGAATTCTTAAAACAGTATCAGTGGGGTTAGACAGCAAGCATTGTCCGTGCAGCAATCAGTGATGATTAATAGAAAATAGTAGGTTATCTATTGCTGGCTTTCCAATGCTGAACTGCCACATAGTCACAAAAGGGAATGTTTTTACTCCTCCATGTAACCAGTTGCTGTAGTTGCCACAGAGACAGCTATGCTGAAACTGGTAGAGGGAGGCAGCCACCCGTAGGAAGGAGGAAGCTCTGAGATTGCTAATATCGCACCAGCAGATCTCTTGTGTTGAGGGAAAATATTCTATGCACTTAGCTAAAAAATGAAGAAATACAGGATTAGTGTTACTTCTCACAGCTTAGTTCAGATGTCTTTAACCATTAAGAGTACTGCTGTTGGCAGGGGAGATATCAAGCCTCTCCATGTGAGGACGGGTAGAGTAGGGCAGCTGATATACAACAGCTTGGGTAAGGAATTTTTGTTTATTAACTTTAATCTTAAATTTGAGTCTGTTTTACCTTTTCAAAACAAAACGGTTTCCTCTCCTTCTCCTTCTGTTGCTTTTGTAAAGCCTTGTATTTTTAATGCCATAATTTATTCTCAACTAGAGTATAGTTTCAGGCTTGGGACTGCAGATGGTGTTTGAAAGCTTCAGTTGAAAAGCAAACTGTCTCTTTTTTAAGATAAGCATGGGATTCTAAGATATTTCCATACCATGTTTGTAGCGCATGTCAGTGTTTTACAGTAGAAGACAAGTGGGGCTGGGGGAGGGAAGTAGTGTTCGCTTTCTTGGTTGCCTGTGACACAAATACATAATAGTTCTGAAAATGTTCTTGTAACTGCATAGCATTGGGATGTATTCCCCCAGGAAAAAAAAATCAATAGGAAGTATGCCTGGTGGTGCCAAACATCAAAAGGCTGCAGTGGTCAGACAGGGTTCCTTGAGAAAATGGTTGGGTCGGGATGCTACAACAGGCATCAGTATCGTTGGGTTTGTGAACTCGAAACCTAATGCATCTGTTATGGGACCAGTTACATATTGAGAGTACCAAATATAGTGGGAGAACAACTACGGTTGAAGAAATTTTGAAAAATCTAAAATATGTTTTTTTTTTTTCTGACTGTTAACTTAAAAGGCTAAAGAGAAACCATTTAGAGAAATATATAAATCTTATTGACAGGATAACTGTAAATATTATTTATTTTAAATAAGTGAAAAGTTGAGGGGTAAAAGCAATGTGCTGTGAGCAATGCTGAGCTGCTCTTCAGGCCTGAGAACATCAATTCTTGCTACACTGAATTACAGCTTGAAAACTTGTTTAGCTTAATTGTGTTGATTAAGTATTTAGAAAGGAAGTTGTTTAACACAACATCATCCATTTCAGAAGACTTCTTGGGAATTTTGTCTTAACTAATTCTCTGTTCCCTAAGGAACGTGGGCAGCAAGGACAGTTCTCATCTCTTGTGCTTGCTTTCTGTAGCCATTATAGTTGTGACTTTTCATTTTCTGACGTGTCTGAAGTCGGTTATAGAGGAAGCAATAATGCTGGTAGTTCCTTTCAAGTGTGTGATCCTATGTTCCCTTCTTTGTGGGCTGTCTGGAACAGTAGTCTTAGCTTCTTTGGCAGTCTCAATATATATTATATTAAAAAAAGAGGGAGATAAAGTAGTTCATTGTAATGAGAGTTACCTATTATTTCTGAAGATATAGCACTATGGGTTAAATTAATACACCTGTGTTTAAAGTGCATTTTAAATCTGATTTATATTCTCTTAACACAATGCTAGATTTACAGTAAACACTTGCTTTTACAAAATAAAAACACTAGAGAAAATTATTCTTTCATGATGTTATAGTTGGCAAAAGCTCTAGGGTGGATGGGTACCTTGGCAGTAATTTCTGTCACTGGTTTCACTGACTGAAAACTCTTCAACAATTTCTTTAATATTACATCTCTTTATTGGAAGGAGGAAGAGGGGGAGGTGAAGCATGCAGCAAGTTCCCTAAGGACATCAAAGGATTTCAAATTTTGTTTGAAAAATTAGTTTCAATGTTTCAGACCTTAGTTCTAGCTCAGGTAGCAGAAAACACCATGTTCAATACTGATACATATGTGTGTTTAATTCATGTGTGTGTTCAAGTTCACTGCAGCTGAATTTATCTTTGAGTCCGAGTAAGAGTTTCCTATGATGGTAGTTAGCTCTGTAAAAGGAAAGACCTTCAAAATCAGTACCTGGGCTGAGCTACTTCTAGGGTTTTACGGCAATAGGCGAATCCTGTCTTATTTCTCCCACATCTGTCAAAATGTGAAGCATTTCAGACAGTGAAAGTCCTCCTGGGAGTATCTGACTAAACAAAAAGTTGATCAACAAACTGTACTATAGGGTTTTCAGGGGCTAATGGCAGATGTAATGTCTTGAGTCATTGAGATCATCTGCTCTGTAGATGTGTGTGATGTGAAGAGCCTCTGACCTCTGCATTCTGAGAAACGAAAATGTGATTCACGTTGTATTTCTACTGCCGAAGCCTGGTGTCTAAATGAAATATGAACAGCCAGGCTTTGGTTTTATTTGGAGGGTAGGGAGAGAACAGTAGGTTCCTACAACTTGTTAGGTCGTTTCTACACTGTGAACTGCTTGTTTTTATTTTGAAAGCTGGAAAATATCTTCTGCAAACATCTCTCCTAAAGCTTTTTCTAGCACACTGCTATCATAATTATCTAAGAATAGAATGGTTTGTTATGTGAATGGGCAGATGTACTTAAAGCTCTAATTAAAGATGTTTGCGTAGTCTTGCCACATCTGATGGGCGTGAAGCCAGCGCACCTTTCTTCATGTGGAGTTATGATTCTCAGATCTCTCCAAATAGGTATATATTTGATTGCTTTTTTGACTCACTTCAGTAGGTTTTGCTATTTTCAAGACAGAGATGACAGTAATCTTTTTTGATTAAATTATGTAATTAGCTGTGATTGTATACAATTAACTTGTATATGAAGTTTAATATAGTTATATTAATGCATATTTTGCCTGTGAAAGGCTTTTAAGATTAAGTTAGTGAAAGACTCTCTAACTTACCTGTAAGTTACGCTAGAATTTATCAAGAATGCTGAAGGACAAAGTGGGACTGTATTTTCAAGACCTGTGTTTGCTCTGCCTGTACCCTATGATGATTGAAAGCTCTGTAACTACATGTAGCATAATCTTGAGTAGACCTATTGCATCTTACCTTTTACGTAGCCAAGAAAAAACAACCGGGGATAAATGGCCTTTGTCAAGCTCTGGGTAGACTTGCATGCATGTTTGTTTGAAGAATACTGTTGAAGCTTCCAAAGCATTCTTAAAAATAATTTTACTAAAGGACTACTCATAACTTTATATTTTGTTTATGTATTTGACTACTTCTATCATTTAGCTGAGAAACTGCTTTATTCCTAATACTAAAAGGGAAAAAGCTACAAAATACCAATATGTAAATGTTCAGAATTTTTATTTAAATGCTTCATGGTACTGTTTGGTACATGGTACAGATGCCTCTTTTGACTTTTTTTTGCCTATTTTGTTATTAAATTAAATTGGACAGTCTTTGACAGATCTAGTGCTATGCATTGTAGAGTTTTCCTACAGGTAGTAGTAGACTGCCTGGAGAACAAACAGATTTTTGTTCATTCATATTATCCTTTCTATAACTCTGTCTTACATCCAGCTCTGGGAAATTCTTTCCTCTCTCTGACTCACCCAACTGAATGAACAACCCTTCTGACGGTGCAGGTGGTTGATATATTGGGACACCTGGTGTTAATTTTGCAAGGGCTGCCGTCAGCCACAAATCCCTGCAATATCAAAGAAAGACAAAAACTTCTACAACCATCAAGGTTTTGTACTTTTGCACTGTGAATTCAAAATGTTGTAGGCACAGCGTTGAAGATCTATTTCAAAGGAACTTTTATTTGTAAATGTTGAGATGTTTATGTCATGTTTTGTGAGACTCCTGTTGTTTTAACAGGCAAGTTTGTCATTATTTCAAAAAATAGCACTTGAGGTAGTTGTGCATGTTAGATTCTAGGAAAGTGCAATGTGAACAATATTTGTGTATTAAACAGAGTTTGGAGAAAATGCTGTTTATTTAATCAAGATATTTTGCTTAACTTTTTATCATCCCCTGTTGCAGCTTTTCTGTGTGGATGTTTTCATATGCATCGTGTAAAAATCATAAGCGTTTAGCTGTTTAACGTTTCTTTTTCTTCCCTTTATTTGCCAAAAGATTCATATCAGTAGATCAATAATACAAGTTCTATTGACAAGTACAGAGAGTATTCACGTGTTTTTATGTTAAAATTTTGTAGATGTATTGTCTTTGAAACAAATTATTCATTCTGTGTGAAGATAATATTAAACATGCAACAAATGATACAAAAACTTCAGTAGGGTTTTAAAGCTTTCTGTTTTGTTTTCAGAAGGAAATTTATTCTAAAATGTACATTAAGTTTTATTCTCAGCCTTAATCTGGAATTGTTCTTGAGAAAACTAATGATCATGAAAAAAATTGATGTCCTTAAGGATCAGTTAACATTAAAGTACCTTAACATATCTGTTAAATACATCTGCTTGATGCTGTATTTCTGATTGTAATATACTGTTGAGAGATAACTGTCCTGAAAGTGATGTAATTGAAAGAAAAATGTGGTGATACATTACACTGCTGTTAGTACAGTATACATTCATATATATATATATATATATATATATATATATATATATATACCTGATGTTAAATTTCCTTAGACAAATATGTTTTATGCTTTGCTGGAAAAAATACAATATCAGTTTTTCCATATTTTAGATTAAATAAGATTATGAATCAGGTGGCCATTCAGCGGAAGAAGCAGTTTGTTGAACGAGTGCACAGTTACTGGTTGCTTAAAAGGCTGTCTAGGAATGGTGTTCCTCTGTTGAGAAGGCTGCAGTCCAGTTTACAGTCACAAAGAAACACACAACAGGTAGGTGACATAATTTTTTACTTAGAAAAAGAAATCAGAAGGTCTTATTTTAAAGAGTAAAAGAATTAATCAGGAAACATAGCACCAAGTAAAACATTTCTCTTATTCAGCATTTAGTAAAAGCTTTACCTTACTTTTAATGTACAGTTTCAAATTCAAGTTACGTTTAACTCTTTATTTAACTCTTTTTACTTTTGAAATCTGAAAAAATATTCGCACAGGGTAATCTTTTATTTGCCTAAATGTTTCACAAAATATTTAACAAAACTATCTAGTATTATTTATTGATTTAGATTTGTGTTTTTTTTAGAAATCATTCATCAATGTGCCATGAGTTAGTCCATCCATTAACAGATGGAAAACAGATTTCTTCTTTGACATGCATAACTAAAAAACAAAACAAAAAAAAAAAAACATGAACTTTTACAGAGTAAAAGGTTAAACATCATATGAGTTCTGTGTTCAAGTTAGAACCTTATTGTCCACATTGTTTGGTAGTAACAAAAGAAAGAACAAGATGTGGATGAAGTTCAAAGGCCTGATGATGCAACTTTTAGTTTTACTTTTGACACAATTCAGTTGAGTTATAGGCAGGCATAAATTCATGCTTATATTTTGTTCTAGTTAAATTCAACCTATCTTTAAACAACTTTGATTTATTTAAGTTGTAAGCATTTACCAGTTAAAATTTGTAAAAAAAAAAAAAAAAAAAAAAAAAAAATCAGTGCAGATTTGTATCACAATCATAAAGCAGTTCTATTCTGTTTCTCATTTTTGTAATATGAACAACTTTAGCAACATTAGAGGTTTAGGCAGGTCTCCTGTTGTCTGGTTTCAAGGCACAGAGTAACTTTGAAAGTAACCAAAACTTTTTTTTTGTATTCTGTACCTGGATCCATGTAATAGTCCTTGAAGCACTGTGAAACATGGTGTGAAAATTCTTCCTGCATTCCAGTTACCTTTTAAAATGAACTAATAATATCAGTTCTGAGTTCTCTCCATTCTCCAGATGTTTGATTTCCAGTGGAATTGTTACTGTAAAGTAACCTCAAGATCTTCAGAATGTGTTTTATAACTTTAAAAACTTTGTATATGACTATCATTTATTTGAATTAAATTGAAAATTTTCCCCCTTTGTAGCTTAACTATTAATTTCGTTTGTATTACGCTGCTATTTGTTGATCAATCGTGAATTGGTATAGTCACAAAAATAACACTCGGCATTCCTTCCTAACTTACTGATCTGTCCTTTTTGTGTGCATTTATTTTATTATTTTTGGTTTTCTACATAAAACAACTAATCATCAGTTAAGAGAATATCATAATTTTGAAGGGACTTCCGGAGGCCACACCCTTCTCAAGCAGGGCCACCTAGAGTAGGCTGCCCAGGACCACATCCGTGTGGCTTCTAAAGATTTCCAAGGAAGGAGATCCACAGCCTTCCTGGGCAGCCTGTGCCAGCGCTCCATCACCCACACAGCACAGAAGTGCCTCCTGATGTTCAGATGGAGCCTCCTGTGTGCTCATTGCCACTTGTCCTGGCACCACTGAAAAGAGCTTGGCTCCACCCTCTTTGCACCATCCCTTCAGATATGTGCATATATTGACAAGGTCCCCTCAGCATTCTTTTCTCGAGGCTGAAAAGTCCCAGCTTGCTCAGCCTTTCCTCACAGGAGCGATGCCCTTATTCCTTTTATGTGGAATTAAACAAGTGGCCAATTTACGTTCAAAGTTATCTTTTGTATGTTTCAATATTGTTCCCTTTTTTATACTATTTATTCTTTTGATTAATCCTTTAATTCTGTAATAGAAGCTTTTATTCTACAAAGTAGTGTCTGACAGTTAACCTGATAATAGCTCAAATTAATTATTCAGATAGTGGGCATCAAAGCAACATCAACAAAATATTAAGTGAACTTGAGTCCTTAAAATAAATAAAAACAAGCAAAAAAGTCCAGGACTCGTGTCCTGGATTTAAGTACAGACTTAAACTATAGTTATGGTGTCTGAAAAACATTTATTTACTAGTTGGTAATTGGGAAGTGCTTCTGCTATTGAGATGGTGTGTTCTGTTCCATCAGAACTGCAACATTTGTAAAGATTTAAATAATGACTACCACAACAAAAGGATTATGATCAAACATTAAATATTAAAAATGTAGACCTTGGATTTGAGCTCATTAAAATGCCTTTACATGTTTGCACTCCTGTATAAACACTACTTCATTTCTTTTTCTAATTACAGAATTAGACAAATACTATTTTAAATTAAGTAAATAATGAAAATATTTAAGTAATTGGAAACGGTTGCTTTTATAAAAAATGGAGCACTTGCTAAGCTTTATTCTTAAAAATTACAATTGAATTGGACTTCATCTTTTGAAAATAAAATGCAACTTTCAAGCAAAGTTGAATATTAAATTGACCTGTTTGATGATAAACATGTAGGTAGTGCTGCTCAGTGAGTAGCAAGTGCCCTGTGTGTGACACTGTCTTCTCTGTAACATCATCTAGAGGTATTTATAATACCTTTTACAGTAGTCATAACTACAAAGAATTAGATGTGTTAGTCATCTTCATTACTCAAGTGTAGGCCAAACCATAATGAAGCCTTTAATTAACAGCCATAGCTGTATATAAAAAAGAAATATATATATATTAAAAACAGCTATGGCTGTTTATTAAACTCCTCAGAAATTTGAGATGCAAATTACTTTTGCCAGTCAAGTGGGGCAAGTGTGCATGATTTTGTTAATTTCGGTCTGGATGAGAAAATTATTTTTACCTGATTTTAGGTTTGAGGTCAAAATGTCAAAAACTCTGGTTTTCAGTCAGTCACAGGAACATAAGTGCCAGTGTAATACAGATTCAGAAGAGGTGGTTCTGTTTTTTTGTTGTTGTTTGGTTTTAATTTAAATTGAACAGAAATGTGAAGATCAGGATTCTGAATTAAAACCCGAAACTGATTCAAGATGTCAAGTGTTTGTGATCCCTACTCAATGTTTGTTTACTAGAACAGACTTGGCAGAAGAAGTGTTCCCAGGGTTTAAAAATTACTTCTTAATGACTGTGTTAGAGCTTAGTTATGTTGGGCTTTTGAAGGTGATACCTATCAACAAATGGTTCTAAACAAAAGAGATTTTATGTAGCACTTCACCAGCTGAAGGAGCAAGGAACCCTCTGAAAGAATGGTTTGTGCTGTCACTTCTTTCTCCACCTGCATAATCAGGAAAGATACTGGAAATAATAAACCTAGAGCCCCATTATTTTCATGCAGTTAGAAACTTTTTGAATAAAAATAAGACATGAAATAAAAGTGGAATAGCTGTTGCTGCTATAGAGAGGTTGTTTGAAAACTGCTCTTTGGAAAAAGAATGGAAAAGTTGAAAGTGCTGCTGGTTAAGGTTATACCTGCAGTGACGATTTCAGTAAGAACACTAATTGCAGTCACAAAATGGTTTTGGCTGGCATATGAATAGCAGCAGGTAATCTAAGGATTGAGGCTGTCCCCATATATTCACATCCAGTGACATACAGTGACAGTGTGCCCACTGGTACCATGTGCTTTATGGTCAGAGATGGAGCTGAAGATGAGTTCTCAATTGGTGTATGTTCTGTGTGTAGACTTAGAAGTGTTTTCACACAATATTAATAAATATCAGTTTTAGCTTTCCTGGATAATGCATCTTTTGGTGTTCGGTAAGATCTATGTTCATTGTAAAGCATCAGTTTTGTTCTAAATTTGTCTTCTGTTGTCAGCAAGAAGTTTTTTTCTGGCTTTGTTATGGGAAGAAAGTTTTGGAGGGAAGAACTCTTTATCAGGAGGTTAATAGAAAATGTGCTTGTCATCAGGGTTTTGAGAAATTAAAATTTTGAAAGGGACTTGTTTTATCCAAGTTTTCTCTGCATAGATACAGGAAGCCAGTGCATCAACAGTTCTTTTCAACTTGCCTGTATCTTTTAATTTAATTAAGGTATATGTTATCTAATAAAGTATAAAAAGAGTTTGTATCAGCTAGTATAACTGCCAACATCACTTTGCACATAAGTGATGCAAAACTGTAAGTTTGCCATTAATCCCTAGTCCCAAGTGACTTTCAAGGAAGGAGTATAGTGTATGTACGCCCAAGAAGAAAGCAGACAAGGTGCTGTAGATGCTTTGGGTCACATCAGCACATTTAAACCTACCTGGTTATCTTAGAGAATGAAATATTATGTTTATCTCATAGACATATCTGTAGCAGGTGAAACAAGTGGTTCAGTTTTTTAAAAAAATCTTGAAAATACATGTTTTTAAGTGCAACTGCACCTTCAGATTTAGCCAAGTGAACTACACCAGACCTGTTCCAACAAAGCTACTTTTCTTGCTCTATTTAGGTTTCCTGACACACCTTAAAACTAGTATGGTTTTGTTGTCGTAGCTTTCAGCAGAATCAGTTCCCCAATCTGAACTATGCAATTACATTAGGCAAAAGAACAGACTATTGAATGAGTGCAAGCAAAACGGTAAGACTGCCACTTTTGACAAGGGCCAGAGCTGAATTTTGACTCTCAAAAACAGTAATACCATGGGGAAAAGAAGTATAAATATGTCAGTCAACAGGTTGTTTCTCCACATGTGGGATCTGGACTTGGAGATGGAGGGGTGTACAAGAACAGCAATTAGTGTCAGTGCAGATTTTCTGTTTCAGTGAGTCTCTGGAAATTCTATGGAATTAAAAATGTGCGTACTAATATTTGTACTGCTATCGAAGTTTACTCAGAAATATTCTGACCTTCAGCAGTTACTAGGTGTCTAACTCAAGACATAGCTTCTTTAAAGAAATGAAAACCAAAATAACTGTCAGTGGTAAAAGACCTTAGGAAAGGGAAGTAGAAAGTTCTAGTTACAGTTTTCAGTCTTTTTTGTGTTATTTTGAAAAGGGGAACAAATTGCTGTTACCAGATTGCTCTACCAGGATACAGACCTCGTTAACAATTAAGGATTTTTCTAATTAAGAAGTTTTATTTGAATAAAACTATCTTCATAGTTTCCATGGGTATTGATCTTTACTTTTCCAAGGCATTTAAAGCACTAAAATATTCTATAGATTACTCAGCACTCACAGATCTGTTAGATATTTTTAAACACCCTTTTTTTTGTTGTTTTTTTTTTTTTTTTTCAATTTTAGGACCTTTTGGCTGAAAAATTGCACAAGCTTTATTTAAAGGACTTATAATTACCTTCTATTAGGGATGTTTTTTCTATGAGTGTCACAGTTTGTAATGTGTGGTTACTGTTCACCTGCTTAGCCTGTTTTCCTTAATCCTCTTTTACTTTCTTATAACTTATGGAATTTATTTATGATTTGCTTATTTGTTTTAGTTAAAAAATAACAAATAAACAAAAAACTTACCAAATGTATATTGCATTATGCTAGTTCCAGGCCAGCATACAAAACTGTGGGTCTTTTCATGAGATTCCTTATTAAAATATTCTCATAAAATGTAATAATCCTCCAATGCATGTTTCTTCTGTGCACTTGGTACTAGTAGCAAGACTTCTACTCTTTACCACAGTTCCTGAGTTTATGAATCTCTTTTGAATAATGTAGGTAGTATTATTTCAATATCTTTATTTTTCTTATGAAAAATAGTAAAAACAAAGAGGAAAAGCTGTATTCTGTGTGTACAGATCCAACTAAGTACTACAGGTATTTAAACAATTCTTCCTAAAAGTGCATTGTCATCCAGGTTGTATTACTGGATTTCTCTTTTTTTTTTTTTTTTTTTTTTTTTCAGTACCATTTGAAGTTAGTATTTTATTTGACAATCTGCTTTTCATTTCCTGTCCTCACTAGTCAGAATGATCTTGATGCTTTTACAAGCGTTTCCTGATTCTTCTGGGGGTGGGGGAGGTGGACTGTGTTGAGCACAGTAAGAGTTCATTTCTACCAGGCTTCTGTGATGTTTCTGAAGAAGCTGGTGATCATTAGAATAGAATAGAATACAATAGTTTAGTGGGAAGGGATCTACAAGGGTTATCAAGTGACTGACCACTTCAGGGCTGGTTTTCCTGGTTTGGATTTTGGTGTGAAAATACCAAGTTTTTGCTGGGTTGCTATTTGTTATATTGCTTTTTCTGATGTAAATAACCTTCACTATAGGCCTTTTCAGCTTTACAATTTTTGCTTTCAGCTATATAGTTGAAAAAATTAAGAATTGTAGTATGAAGCTTATTACTGAGTATGTATATTAAAAAAAAAAAAGTTTATTCTTTCCAGTGAATACTTCTATATAATTGCATAAAACTAGCTTATAGAAAGAGATAAGTGTTTTCACTTCCTGAAAATCTATTGATTCTTTTCTTAGAGAGAAGATGATGAAGAAATGCAAGCCTTAAAAGAAAAATTGAAGTACTGGCAAAGGCTGCGCCATGATCTTGAAAGGGCACGTTTATTAATTGAACTTATACGTAAGCGTGAAAAGTTAAAAAGAGAGCAGGTAAATGTTTCTTTTAATTTTACTTTTTAATTTGGTGAAACTCTTCTGAAGGAAAGATAATTTAAGTATTCTCACACAGTTTTTGTAGTGCAAAGTCTGTGCTTTTTGTACATGCACTCTCACACAAGCTGTTTAAAATATGTAAAGTTACTTAATAAGTCATTGTAAAGTAAATTGGTTTCTGAAGAAATGTATAAAATTTGATTATCACATTTTCCCAATAGGTACCTTTATTGAGGAACACTTTTATTTGTTTGTCATAAAACACAAAAACCAAAAAGCTGCATCTAAATCATACAGCATTATAGGGTTAAGATAGCTAGGACAAGAGATGGGAGGAAGCAGTACTGCAGGAAGAGAATGTTTTATATGAAACTGTGAAAGCAACAAGTTTGCCTTTAGGACTCCTTAATTGTTCTTACTTGTAAAACGTGCTTTGTCTGTTTATGTGTATGCACCCACACCATAGATGTGTCATAAATAATTTATTTTTGCCTTGGCAAAACTGTTTCAGTGTTGATAACTCTTGAAATGTCCTGAAAATAAACTGTAGAGGAGTTTTAATACTGTGAAAAAATAATGACAATTCTGAAGGGTGACCAAGTATTTGAAGATGTAGATTCTGGTTGTTTAAATGATGTTTGGAATCTATATAGGACATGGTCTTTAAAATTACATTTGTTTGGGGTTTATATAGCCTGTAAATGTTTATCAGGTTCTCTTTTTGCATCTTGAAATTGTCATTACAAATGAAGACTAACTTTAAATAAATTGCATTTAAATTCTTGTTATTTTTGTTGGCAAAATATGAATCTCTTATGTAATAACTTCTCAGTGAAAATAATTACTATTAAAAATGAAGCAAAATTCAGTTATTACAGATTAAAAAAACGGGCTTTGAGAGGATGAGAAGCTAGAGTTGAAATTGAGTGAACAACAAAAGGATGAGTGATTTTTTTTTTATAAAGTTATCAGCTGAAAACGTGTTAGACCCATGCCAACTGATGATACTGAAAGTAGCATTAAGATCTAGAAGTGTTATTTTTGAAAACTCACTTTCTTTGGTATTTCAGCTGAAGTTGAAGTAGTGTTTTTTAATGTTTTTCATATCTAAAGTACTGTTACTGAAAGACAACTTACATTAAAATAGTATCTTAATAAAAAGTAATTCATTACGTAATTATTACTTCTTTAGGTCAAGATAGAGCAAGTTGCTATGGAACTTCAGCTTACTCCATTTACTGTACTTCTGCGATCAGTTCTGGATCAGCTGCAGGAAAAGGATTCTGCACGTATATTTGCTCAGCCAGTGAACCTTAAAGAGGTATGTTTTAAGCTTATTTTTTCCAGGGTTTTCCTTATGTGTGACCAAGTCATACCTAAACATAAGTAGCAGCAATTCATGGCATCACAGAATGCAGTGTTGCAACCGAATAGTGTTACTTTCTAACCTGTATTCTGATAACTTCAGTTATGCTGCTATGAAAATCTGTTCATATACCAAAATAATTTTTAGCAACTACACGTGCCAAATAAGATGGCAACATACTGATCTTCTGTTATAAGATTCTTTGATAGAGAAAATTTGAAGGGTGTCTTAAAAATTGAAATATGGATACTGTGTTCTTATTTGGAGGTAAAATTGTTTTTCATTTACCAGGAAAATAGGCGATATATACATGTGTGTATGTATGCATATGTGCATATCCATGTATACATGTATAGAAATATATATATGCAAAGTGTTTTTTTACATACATGCGTGTATGCGTTTACATATATGCGTATATTGTACGTGCAATAATCAAAATATATTTATAATACGTAAGATAAATGTATTTATACATAAACACACATATTTTTAGAACTATGTGTTTCATACGTACATGTTATAAGTAGTTTCAGCATGTGTTAGTAGACTTAGGCTACAAAGTCTTGTAACATGTACTGTTCTACTGGTGTATAAATGTTTACAATATCAAGATATGTAACTCTGCTACATTTTGCAGTTCTTGATCTTAGGTGTTAATATGTTAAAACATGCAGATCAGTTAGTAGCTGATATTATCTTATCCATAATATGAAAATTTTATCATAGTTTTACCCTTTTTTGTTGTTGTTTTAAATATTTATTCAAAGGTTCCAGACTATTTGGATCACATAAAACATCCTATGGATTTCTCTACCATGCGAAAACGGTTAGATGCTCAAGGCTATAAAAACCTCAGTGAGTTTGAAGAAGACTTCAATCTTATCATAGATAACTGTATGAAATACAATGCAAAAGATACAATATTCTATAGAGCTGCAGTGCGGTTAAGAGATCAAGGAGGTGTAGTTCTCAGGCAAGCTAGACGAGATGCTGAAGGAATTGGTTATAATAATGAAACTGGAATGCACTTACCTGAACGGCCTAAACTTGAGTCACCACAGCCTTTCTCTTGGGAAGATGGTAAGATGTTTTTGGATTGTTTTTGAACATTTTTGTCTTGTCGCATTTTTGGTGTGTGTAAATTCCATACAAATGCTTAAAACTGTAGCTGTTCAGTCTACTGACTAGAATTTGTTTTCTCCACTAAAGACAGTGTTTGAAAGTTTCAGTTGATTCTCTTTTACTAGATCTGCCATTAGAAAGCACTGTCAAAATCAGAATCTGGAAGACAATGTTAAAGCCTAATTTAAAGAGATACATGAAAAAAGGTTTTAAGTTCAGCACCTTCTTCCATATGTTGTATCTAGTCATATATAGTGGAAAATGACTACCAGCATGTGTAAACTTCAGTACATTTTTAAATAACCCGTTGAATTAAAAAAAATCAAGCACACTTGTAATACTAGGAAATAAACAGCTTCCTTTAGACATGCACATCGGTTCTCTGAGTTGTTGACAGTGAAGGAAAATAACACTACTTTTATAACTAATCTCTCCCTGCTCTTTGACAAGAAGGAAATTACCTGATAGGGTGGAAAAGGTTAATTGTATTCCTTCTGACCTTGCTCAACTGCTTAGATTTCTTGAACAAAATTCAGATTAAGAAGAATTGTAGTAACATTATACAATTGGAATTCATGCCAGCATTTCTTTACTGGTAATGGAAAGCGACTGAGACTAATCTAAGTAGCTTCTTGATAAGTTTTCAATTTCAGCACGTGATTATTTTTTTTTTCTGTTAGTATGTGGGAGACACTAACACATTTTCAATTATACATATTTTGACTTCAGTGGATAGATTACTGAATCCTGCGAACAGAGTGCATATGTCCTTGGAAGAACAGCTGAGAGAGTTGCTAGAAAAACTTGATCTTACCTGTGCAATGAAATCCAGTGGATCAAGGAGCAAAAGAGCAAAGCTTTTAAAGAAAGAAATCAGCAGTATTCGCAACAAATTAAGTCAGCAACACAACCAAGTTCCTCAAATAGAATCAGGTATTGGAAGTTTTGAAGAAGAAAGTGCAGCACTAGAACAGGATGGAGAAGAAGAAGGTAAGATTTATACCTTGTTTAAATTAGTACTACTGTGGACTTCTTCAATCAACTGCTCTAATCACATGAATTAAACAGTGCAATAAATTAATATAATGTTTCATTTTTAAATGGATGAATAGCCTCTTAAGTACAATATGAGAATGATCCTTTTAGTTAAAACCTCTTTTCAGTGTAGTAATACAAAAAGGAATCAACTGTCTGAGTGGAAAATATGTTTATACTTTCAGAAATCCACTTAAACGCCAAAATATGTATTAGGGATCATGTGAGCCTAAGTCAACCGTGTTGAAAATGTTGGCTCTTGTACAGTCATTTGTAGCTTTTCTATGATCTGCAGGCTCTTTGGGGAGGGTGGAGGGTAGGGTTTGTTTATTTGTTTCTTTTCTGTTTTAATAAAGCTAACTATTGATGGGAGTCATCAAACTTCATGTTGTAGAACCAAGGCAGCTAAATCTAACCAGCCCTTCCCCTTGTGCCTCTCTTCCTCCTTGAAATACTGGTCTCAGAACTACATCAACTGTTCACTAGTTCCCATTGATTTCAGTGAGAGCAACATAATTGAAAGACCCAACTTTTTGTTACAGTTCAATATTGTATTTGATTCTTTTGTTTTTAACACAGTTACTGAGGTCTTTATTGCTCATTTTTAAATGAAGCAAACAAATCCAGTCTTTAAAAAAAAATGTTATTGAGAGATTTTATTTTGTAATCAGCTCTTCTCTAAAAAGCTAATCTATTTTTCTTTAGGAGGGTTAGAGGCATGTTTCATTTGGCATAACACTACCGAATTGTGGGAGGAAAGAGCGGAAGGGAAAGTGGAAGCATGATAATAAATAAAACAGTCCTGTGCAGCTTGATGCTATCAAAATTTTTGTGAAGTGAATAAAAAGACTGTCCTTAACTGCCATTCAAACAGCAACTTAGTGTTTGTTTCTTACTGTGACTAAGAGTGGTTTCCAAACATAATGCGCTTGAGATTTGAACGACAACAGTAGAAAAATTGTAATTGGATCAGCATGTGATTTACCTCGTTGTGAAGCTGTTAAACATTCTTAAGATGTTTAATGCTGTTTTATTTATTTATTTAAATCTCCTTCAAGTGATGATGCTTCTGGATATAGTCATTTAACAATGTACTTTGTCAGATAAAAAATACACTAACTTTTTATTACTTGTAGCTTAACATTTTTATTACTCAGCCTTTAACTTTTGCAGCTCTTGTGCAAATAATAGACTAAAACTGAGCAGTAACTGTTTTCTTAAATTTACAATATGTTTAAAAATAATTATAAAGAACATCATCCAGAGTTGATTGGCATTGCTGTTACAGTGAAGAGTAGTAGTCAAGTTCAAGTTTTGGCTCTCAAATACTTAGAGGAAAGAGAACAAATATCTAAAAAAGAGAGATGAGGAAGGTAGCCACAAGAATCCTGTGCCCAGGATTACAGAAGCTGATGCTAGAAGAGCTGTGAATTAACACCTGGCAATTCTGTTTTTCAATTTCTGATTATGTTAAAAATGTGGTGGCAGAATAATGCAGTGAAATTTAGTTTTCAGTGTCTAAATTAAGTGTTTTTCTGTGCTTTAGTATTTTTGAGAATCTTTTCTAATTCATTGTGAGAAAAATAGAATTTGTTCAAAAAGAATAGTGATCTTGGATATTCTAAACTACAGTTTTTTGTTTTATTTTTTTAATTGGTGCTACTGTAAATATGCTTATCCGACCCTAAATTTCATTCTAAATGTGCTCCAGAAATATTATTTACCAACTCTAATACATGCATGCCTTCAAAGGATGTGAGCATAGTCACACTATTTTAGCACTATATTTTTAATAGGAACTGTGCTATTGTTCAATTAAACCTAAAATGATAGGGCAGAGTTCTTCTACGCTTTATTTTTTAGTCATTTTTTTTTTAGTTATTTATTTTTAATTTATAGTTATTGATTTCAAAGTAAAGATTGCTAAGCCAAAACAATACGTAGATAGTATTTAATTCACTACAGATACAGGGTTTAAACCCTTGCTGTTCTATGTCTTTTATCAAGTGACATAGAAAATTAACTAGACTTTAAAAATTGATTTGACAGCATACATGTTCCATTGGTCTCATGCAGTTATTTGTACAGAATAAGCATCTTACTATTAATTCACATCTTAAAAGATTCTCTTGGAAGCTATAAATTTTAACATCTATGAAGCTATGAAGGTATATCATCTTTTTTGCGTTGACGGGTGAGGTAGTCCTGTTACTTGTATTTAGGAATGCTGCAACAGTAGAATATATATTTTCTTTCCCATCACTTGGGAAGAAAAATTGAAACTAGTTGTTCATGCTCACACTTACATCTCCATTGTCTTCTCCCAGTGTGGAATTATTTAAATAATCTGGGAAAGGATAATGAGGGGAGAAAAAAAATGGGATGAAAGAAAATTGGTAGAGGGTGGTTTTTCTGACTTCTTCTATCAAGTCTGCATTGTCAAGTCTGTATTTGTCAACGAGTGTCAAAGCTGCAAGGCTTAGGGGATGCTTTGTTGTTGTTTTGCAAATGAATCTGCTAGTCACAACTGCAAACAGCTTTGCAGAAACTGCCTTTCTGTAATTTTATATCACATTTTAACTTACTCTAGTAGATCAGGTTACAAATACCACTTTTTTAATGTCTATCTGATAAAACTTGTCTTAGGCAGTTAAGGTGAATATACAAAGTTTGTAAAATGTATTATATCAAGTATTTTACTTGAATGGCAGTGTAAGTGCATTTAACAGATAATCATCCACCACCCCAACTTGGTATTAAAAAAAAAAAAAGTAGTTTTCTTAGTTTTTAGTTAATGAAACTAACATAATTGCATGAGAAGTAAGAAGTACTGATCCAGGTGTAAATTGTTAACACCAACTATAAACACCTACTTTTCTATCCATGTTAGACTCCCAGTATAAAAGTAGGAACTACTAACTAGGACAGATTGTTGCTAGACAAGAATTGTTTTTAAAATGTTATGCTTTGTTTCCAAACAACAGTTTATTTGGTGGGCTGCACATTTATAGTGAGTTTTATAATAGACTTTATAACGACAAGTTTTCAAAAATCACACTCTATTTATAATTTTTTCAGGAGATAAATCTCCCCCTAAACTTGAACCATCAGATGCATTACCTCTTCCTTCAAACTTGGAGACTAATTCAGAACCACCAACCCTCAAACCAGTAGAACTCAATCCAGAGCAGAGTAAGCTTTACAAAAGAGTAAAATTTGATAATGAATTATATAGCACTTCCATTCAGAAAGAAATAAATGGACACACTCCAGAACATTTACTTGACAGTAATCTCAATGAGTCGACTGTTTCTGCTGTAGCTGAGTCATCAACTGATGTAAACAGACGTACATCCATTCTCTTCTGCAAATCGAAAAGTATAAGCCCCCAAAAGTCTGCAAAGAACACTGAAACCCAGCCAACTTCTCCACAGCTAGGGACCAAAACCTTTTTGTCTGTAGTCCTTCCAAGGTTGGAGACACTTCTGCACCCAAGGAAAAGATCAAGGAGTGCATGTGGAGATTCTGAGGTTGATGATGAGTCCCCTGTAAAGCGCTTGGATACAGGTAAATGTTACAAAACTTATTTGAATGGATGCATCTCAAAAGTTAACATACCTGAAATTGTTAATCTTCAGATTTTAGCATTCGAACAGTTTTTCCTCGGAGTTCAGTACTCAGATGTAGTTACAGTTCAGAAAATTACCATATCATTTTCTTTATGTTGGCCCTTTGCAATTGGACTTAGTGAACCAAGTTTTCCTTTCTCACAGTTTCACTTTAGCAATGGAATTTTCAAGTTAACGTGTCTGGGTGGGTGATATTTTCATTTTTATTTACTTGTTTTCTTATTTCTTATTGTTGCAACCAATGGGAAATACGAATCAGCTGTTGTTTTTTTTTTTTTTTTTTTGAAATTCCCTGTTAAATTAAAAGGAAACTTCATATAAGGTGCCAAAACTAGAATTTTTACAAGGAGCATGGAAGCTGTACGTTCCATGTGTGGCTTTATTTGATATAATGCATAGTTTGCATTTATTTGATATAATGCACATACTAAGCATATTTTCACATTGTGAAACTGATGACTACGTGTGAGGTGCTTTGCCTACCCATGTGTTTTATGGAAGCATTAAAATCCCAAATAATGACGACATTTCCTGTGCTTTTCTTCTTAAGTCTGTGCACTTTAAATAGATAGATAAATGCAATTTGTATTAGCAAACTATAGTTCTGTTTGGAGAGGTTTGAATAAAACCCTATATGAGGAGGAACAGCAGCATAAGGAAATTACTTATGTATTTCCTTAATGGCTCTTGCTATGACTTCTATATCACCTTCTGAAATAAGCACTCTGTTTCATTGTTACACTGATAGCCTGTATGCAAGTATGAAAAGAACATGCAATTTTTCTGTCTCTGAATGAAAGACGTAGAAATGTATTTCAAACGTTTATTGTGAGGATGTGCTTTAAAAGCAGACCTAAAGGATCAACCTAATCTAAGAGACGTGCTTTTAGTTTGTTTTTTAATGATCAAAAGAGAAGGGAAATTATTTTATTGCTAGAAAAATAAAATAAGAAAATAATAAGTTTTGGTGCAGAGATATTTTTGGTGTCTTTTTTTTTTTTTTTGGCTTGTTTGCTTTCCCTCATTGGAAAATCCCTGTTTGTTTTGTTTTGTTTGTTTTGTTTTTCTATGAAAGCTTGGGAGGAGCCCATACATCTAATCTGATACCTTAGTTCTGAAGCAGAAATCAGGTTAAGGTGGTGTGTTGGTAGAAGTGTACTAATCTTCTTTAATAACATGAAAAGCTTTGGTTTCTAAATATTCTAACTTACTGGCCTTTAATCTGGACAGTAAAATCATGTGTCTTTATACAGATTACATTTTATCACATGCATAATGATTCACTTTATGCTAGATCATGCAGGCAATTAGTCTGAACTATGAAACTGTTATCTTAAACATTCTAATTTTTTTTTTTTAATATAGGAAGACTGACTTAATTCTTTAAATAAGTAAATCAGACTAGCTGAATACATTTAAAAACTGTCATGTCATTCATTTGCTCTGTGCAGTGCATGTATATGGGGAAATATACTTCTAATTATATTAAAAGAATTATGAATAATTTCTTTTGATTTTAATAGACTTCCCATTTCAGAATTTCTAGGTATTTTGTTATTGTATAATATGCAGGTCAATGATGGGAATAAAATCCAAAGGGTTAAAAGATTTTTATTACTGTTACTGTTTTTTAAGTAGAATTCCATAACTTCTTCCTGAAAGAAATGGAATATGCATTATGCATGGAATAAAATCTACACAGAACTTAGGGAGGTGTTTATGTTTTTGTTTGCTTGTTCAAGAAGAGACTCTGTTAACTGAACTCTTCTGGCCAAATTATTTTCAACTGGAAGTATTCTGTTTTTTCCTTGAAAAGCACGTGTTTTCTTCATACAGATGTGCCAACTTATTAAATCTTACTCTTGTGATTCTTTGTCAATTTGAAACAAAAATCTTGCTTTTACATTGCAGATTTTCTTCCTTATATTATTTTTGAAACATGTCTCCACAGTAATTTGAGCCAATTTGCAATTGGCAGCTATTTTGAGCTACAATTTAACAGGAAACCAGCACAAACCTTAAACACTTTCCAAGATATAAAATTAGTTGAATTATTTTAGTTTTGCCTATGCAAGCTGTTGTAGATTCATGCAGATGTCTGTGTTCTGATAAGATTAAAAAAAAAAAAAGGTCACTGTATACACAATTTCTATTTGGAAATTTTTTCACTGAAGTGTGATTGAATACTGCTGGTGAAATGTTTTTCTTGAGAAGAATTCATCAGACGTGACTCTTTCCCTTCTGAGACATGCCATGCTAGATAAGGCATGCTTCAGGCTCCTTACATGGATTCTTGTGAGTTAGCAACTCCATGATCGATCACTGTCACTTAGAGAGAATGAGCATTGCATGATTTACTCGTATGAATGCTAAATATATTCAGTTCTAGTGGATATAAGAAAAATTTAATTAACAGGGACTTCACTTAATAATACAAATATACGTTGAAACTTTGGTCTCTAGAAAGAAAAACTGGTCAAGAGCTGCACCCAGGCTGCTGGGTGCATGTCATTACTGGTCAGGCACTGCTGTGGAGTTTGTCTGCTGTCACATCTCTTTCTCCTTACCAATGTTGTTTTTTGATTTCATTTCCCCTCTCCGTCATTCTTTAGAGATGCCTTGTTGTTTTGTTCCTCGCCTTATCCTGTCTTCAAAGTAATCCCCCCTTGATGTCACTTGTGTATTTCTACATGAGGTTCAGAAGAAGACTCCAAACTTTACCTAGTTAGTTGAAACCATACTTACTTTGTCTGACATTTCAGTATTGTCATAGACTGCCTGCTATTATTCTCTCTATTATACTGGAGTACAGTTGAGGCTGGTGTGCTCGCTAGTTAGTTGCAAGAAAGATAAATACAGGATCCATTGGTCTACTACTTTCTAAGTATGGTGTCCCATATGTTACTGGTTTTGTATACAAAATAATTATTGAAATACTAGATTTTTTTCAGAAATAACTGATAATTGCACAGTATGATTTATCCTTCAAAGAGGCCCAAAAGCAGTCTTTAATATTCTGGCCTCCCTTTATATTTGAATCCTTGTTTAAGAAATAGGAAGCAATATTCTTCTACTGGGGCATTATCACATACATGCATACATATATGTATGTGATAATATATACATAATACATCTTTCTCCGTGGTTGCTATTTGTAAACTGAAAACTACGTACTGGGGGAGGTGTGTTTAATTTTTTTCTATTTGTACTAGATAAATCATCTTGTTGCTTTATATAGCATTAAATAATTTCAGCAAGAAGAAAGGTTTTACTCTGGCAATTTTGGTTACGCTGGAGATCGCTGTATGATTCTTGAAGTTCTGGTGCGTCAAAAGTTAACTGCTGCAAGTTCAGTGACCCTCCTAAAGTATCTATCACATACTTACAGTGCTCTTTGTTATAAATCTTAGTCCTTCTCATCAAGTCAGGTTAATGTCAGAAAGTTAAATGGTGCAGTTATTACATCTGAGGAAAATAAAGCTGATCAATATATATATGAGAGATTTTTATGAAGCATTTAAAAGTTTGCTTTTATCAATATCAAACAAATGAAATCCTGGGAAAAATAACTGTTTTTAGATGCCTTTTGATTGGTTATTATAAGATGATAAATTAGGCTCGATTAAATTTTTGAAGATGCTTTTGGTTTTATCAGTCGCTTTTCATAAATGTAGGATAGTAATTTACACTTGCAGTGTTTGTGCTTTATATTTTAAGCAGAAGCTATGTATTTAAAATTTGCCATTCTAAAGCAAACACTTTAACTCACCACAGATTTAGAATTGCAAACAATGACTATTACAGTGCAGTTTTCTGTTACTTCTTGGCTAGGCAGCAGTAGTAGTTTGGTGTAACTCTAGTTACTCAGTATTCTTCACACTTCCAGCTGCACAGATTTCCTTAGGGCACTGAAACAGATGTACGCATGCATTTAAAACAGGGATCACTGAATTTGAGAAACACTGCAAAAAGCACAGATTTGGGGGAAGAGGGGAGATTATTGTTTTGTAATAACTACTTTGCGTGTAGTTTTCATTATACAACAAACATAATTATACCTTTATAAATCTATTAATAAGTGTTGGCCTGACTTTTGTTTCTGCCTGGCTACTACAAAATATTTTTTGGCACTTAATTGTTTTTAAGTAACCAGTACATGGATTCCACTTGTATGTGATATGTTTCAGATTGTAGGGATGAACGCTTTTAATCAATTTTATTTGGTATGATAAGGACAGAGATTGTATGTGGGGTAAAATAGAACACATGTTGTTTCTTGGATTTTTCAAAATGATTTTTGTTAAATCTTCGCCTCTGGAGCACAAATAAACCCTGAATTTTAACCAAGCTGACATGTGCAGAATTCAATCACCATTCTCTAAATGAAAGAGATGGAAGTAAGAAACACTCATCTGAGAACATAATTTATGTTCTCTATCTAAAGCAAATTCTAAGCTAGAGTTAGCTGAGTTAAAAAAAAAAAATGAATTTTGAAAACAGAATTATTAAAGTCTGGTTATCATAGATAAGAATGGCAGTGTCTGTTGCATATTCATGAGTAGTAAAATGCAGTAATTTGACTAAACCTGTGGACATATCCAGACTCTTTATATGTTGAATTACATCTACTCTTTTTCTTTTTCTTTAGATTCATACTGATTGCTTCCTGTAAAATATGACATGAAATTTAGAAATTTAAGCACTTAGTGATGTCCAAAAACGTCAGCTGCCTTTCTTCAGGAATTTCAAAGCATGAAATGTTTTAAGGTGTAAACGCAAACAAAGCATTGGAGATTGCGAAGGTTTGAAAGGAATTGTCCCCTGGCTTGTTAAATTTCTCAATGTACAGATACGGGGACTTCAGGAGCTCAACTGCTAAATTGTCAGGATAGAACCAGACTGCACAGTAACACATAAGTACCAAGGAGGCTGAGGAAG